TACTATTATGATTATCAACCAACACATGCATACATATTTATACGAATTGTTGTTGATATAATTAATAATTAAATAGAAACGATAACTTTTCAACGTTATGGTTTTTCTATTTGGTTTTAATTAAAATAAACACACACACACACACACTCACATATATATTATATTTTAATTGAATATAATGAAGTCCTCTTCTGATATAAAGGATGAAGTAACAGGAAATACTGTTACGTTCAAGGATATATAATTTCACACCCTGTGTCCTTTCTCCTTGAGTATCAACGTTAAAGCCAATATCTTCTCCAAATTCCAGCCAGTGGCAATAGCCTGAGAATATTCTGGCTATGTAATATTGTCCTTCTCTGTCTTTCTACGTTAGTATGTCCATCCCTATCTTATTACTTTGTAGAACTCAAGGACTATGATAACATCTCACTCACTCATTCTCTCTCTCTCTCTCTCTCTCTTACTTCCTCTTCTTCAATGTTTCAGCTTAACAATGTTAAACGTCGAGTTGGCTCTTCACCATAAAGGTCCTTTCTATCCTCCCCCATGGCTTGCTTCTTCCTACTCGAAACTCACCCTGGGAATTAAAGAACGAGATTAGCACCGAGCGTATATCGCATTCGTATTCGCATAAGTTTATGTCCCCAGAAATCTCTACTAACGATGACGGATCGTCTACTCTACCTTTTGAATAATCCCACGTTATATATATATATATATATATATATATATATATATATATATATNAATCCCACGTTATATATATATATATATATATATATATATATATATATATATATATCTTTTCATATTTCTTCTTCTTCTTCTGTCTCTTTTTATTTCACTTTTTTTTTTCATTTTTCCCCCTTCTTTTTTCTTCCATAAAACAGTGTCAAAATGCTTGATGTCTCTTTCTTTTTCTTTTCTTTTTTTTTTTTTTTTGTACTCTATCCTTAATTTATTTCATTTATTTGATAAATGGATTTTATTATAAGAGATCGTGACAATTACAGTCCCCAATGTTAGGGTGAATAATTTTTATACAGATTAAAATGCGAGAGGATTATAATAGATCATATTTTTGTGTTTTTTAATGAGTCTGGTGATTAGAATCAAGCTCAACAACATTTTTCATTTAATACTGAGAAAATTTGTCATAATTTGGTCATTTAATAAAATATGGAAAAAATAAGTTACGATGTTGTAAGTTTGCAAATCTTGTAAGCTTACGAAATTCTCATTTTAAAAGAAACACTGCTGGAAATTTTATTTTTATTAAACGTACATTTAAAAAAAAAAAAAAAAAAATAGATTTAGTTGGAAAATGGTAAGACACTTGAAGTGGTCACTCATTGTTACAATTGTTATACAAAATTATGAATTGAAATTATGAATGAAATTTATCGGTTTTGAAATATGAAATATTATTTTTGTTTAAAAGATCAACGCGTATTATTTTAATATGTTTAAAATGTAATTCTTCTATAATTTCATTTCGAATTCGGTTTAAGTCTAATCTGTCTACGAGGAAACTTGTGAACACCTGCTGCTGCTGCTGCTGATGCTGGTTGGTACTGTTACTACTACTGTTACTACTACTGTTATACTACTGTTACTACCTTTCAATGCGTAGTGTAATCGTGCTCGATTAAGTATTAAATGAGTTGAAACGAGGCGATTAGGATTCGAAAGATTCTCTTAGAAATTTGACGATCTATTTTTACGAGAGACTATAAACCCTTTTAGAAAGAGAGGACTCAAGCTAATGAACATTTCGATTTTATTTAACTTCGTTACTTATTCTTCTTCTTCTTCTTCTTCTTCTTCTTCTTCATTTTTTTTTTTTATTCTTCCCTTTTATTATTTAGCTGAAGTATAAAATTTTATTTTTATCGTGAATAAACGTTGCATTCGTTGTATTAGTATGCCTATTCCCCAAACTATCGTAAGAATGCAAACAACTCGAAGAAGTATTCCCTGTACGCTCGTTAGAAAAGTCATTTGTCGAAAGGTTAGAAGAGAATACTGAGCTTTGTATCTACACCGTGACTTGTTTGAGAAAAATTTCATTCTTCCCTAATACGCATACTTTCATAAATTCTTTGATATTAAAAAAGTTACCTATATTTTTTATTTTATTTTTTTATTTTTTTATTTTACAGTATAAAGAAAAAATAAATTGTAATTTTACATGTAGTCATTTGGAATTTACATTAATATTGGAACATTATGGTTCAACTAACGAATGAAAATAAAATATTTTAATGCGTTACACACGGTATAGGTGGGTTGAAAAAAAAAACCCAGTGATAAAACTCCCTCGTCATCTTGCTAAGTAATCCAAAAAATTAGGCTAAATTATATCTTTCTCTTTCTTTTTTTTTTTGCACGTAAAGTAGCCTAATTTATTTTGATTACGATTGTTGGTAAATCTAATTAAAAAGATCCTCTCGTTGATTATACGAGATATTATGATTATGATGATGAACGGTAGACAGGATCGATTTAAATATTTTTTTCCCCTTTTTTTTTTTCTTGGATAAAAGGAAGAGCTTTTTTATTTCTCTCTTTCTCTCTTTCTCTATCATTCTCTCTCTCTCTCTCTCTTGGCCTGTTTCTATTTTTCTTTTTCTAAAATAAATAAAGAAAGAAATCATTTCGATCTGAAAACGCCCAAGGCTTTTTTTTTCTTCAATCTTCCACTCTCTCTCTTTCTCTCTCTCTCTCTCTCTCTCTCTCTCTCTCTGTTTCTTCTCCTATCACATCTTTTTATTTCTTTTATTTTTTATTTTCTACCTTTTTCTTCTCTGTCTCCTTCAGTTCTATTTTTTCCTCTTCTTCTTCTTCTTCTTCATCTTCTGTTTATTTATTATTATTATTATTTTTTTCTTTTTCATTAAAGCAACGAATTTGTAATAGCTTTGATCTTCGATCGTAAGAATTTTCTCGTTGACACGCGTCCTGAGATTTATCTTTTCCAGATGAATAATTTTCTTCTCAAACCTTTTGTACGTGAAGCTTGACACGTCACAGATTTTATTTCATTTCATTTCATTTCATTTCATTTCATTTCATTTCATTATATTTTATTTTATTTTATTTTATTTCATTTTATTTTTTGCTCTTTCATTTCCATTGGAAAAAAAAAAAGCTATTGCATAAACCTTAATCTGCACTGATTTTTTTATGAAAGGTTAACCACCTATTTGGAAGTTATGTAACATGAAAAAACACTTGGTTCTCTCTTTCCATCTCTCTTTTTCTATAGTACGATGTATAAGTGTATGTGCGTGTACCGTTCTCTTTTCAAATACACGAGAGAAGATATTTCAATTTTTTTATTTTTTATTTTTTAAAATACAAACAAAAAATACATAAGCCAGAGGATCGAACAATTTCATGCTTGAAATAAATGTTTTAACAAAAGATTAACGTTGGAAAATAAAGTACACATTTAATACTTGTTACTTTTTATTCCTTTTTTTTTGTTTTTATTATTTCTATCCGTTTAATACGTTCGATTAACGCAAAACGCTCTTAGCAGAAATTATTCAAATCCATTAGGGTAAAATTGCGATGGGGGATTGGTTGGAAGAAGAGGGGTAGGAAGGGTAGGAAGACAAAAAGGAAAAAAAATTGTAGGAATGAGTCAAAATGCTTATCTGTGTTCTTCACGAGTGTTTTGTTTGTTCGTTCATCCGTCCGTACGTTCGTTCCTGTTTGTTTTTCTTCATTTTAGGTAGTTTTTTTTTTTTTTTATTTGCATGTTTTTTTTTTTCTTTTGGTTTGAAAACTCTCTTGAAATGAAAATACTCTTTGAAATAAATATTGTAAACTATCGTAGCTTATTCGGGTTATAAACGTTTACCATCGTATAAACAGATATACATAACAAAGTGTTGACGATTTCGAATAGTAAACAATAGGTTTAATTTAAACAAAGGTCGGGGATATATAATAGTCGCAGACGAATCATCGGAGAGAACGAACGTTCGTCGAACACGACGAGTTCAACGTATTCATCCGAAAACGAGATGGGTGTGGGAGTGGGGAGAAATTTTTTTTAACTACTTCCAATTAAATCCATGTATTTTATTCGCGTAAGTAAATGATATATATGTGTATATACATTTCCATTTATATATAATATCAAATAGTTTATTTCGAATGAACATTGAATAAAAAACAAACGAAAGAAAAAATAACACGATAATTTGATTATTATTTAGGAGATTTTATTTTTTAAATAAATAAATCGTGTATCGTGTATCGTGTATCATTTTTCTATGGTTTATAAATTTATTAAATATATTATTTTTAATTTTTATAAAGGATTTAATATATGTATATCACATAGATACTACATATATATTAGTGTGTCTAGTATACTATATATTATATATAGTAATTATTACTATGTATAGTATTATTATATAATTATAGCAATATTTATTATTACTATAATTATATTTTATAATATTAATATATAATTGTAGCAAAGTATTTATTGTTATTATAATTAAATATTAATATAATAGTAATATAGTAATATTATTATATAATACTAATATAATATAATATATTAGTATTAAACTAATATATTATATATATATATGCACTATATATATAGTATTATAGTAATATAATAATATTATTAATATACTAATATAGTATAATATATTAGTATTAAACTAATATATAATATATATGCATTACATATTATATAATAAATGAAATTACCTATTTTTATTATTTTAACTAATTTTATATATCATTTAAATAAAGTTGGCAGATTTAACTGTTAAATAATTAAAACTAATGGTTTTATTAACAATCCATTTATTATTTAGTTTTAAATCAACGATCATTCAACATCATTTGACATCGTGTATATATTTATATGTATATTAATAAAATTATTGGATATTTTTGAATAAAATATTTGATTGTGAAAAAAAAACAAATATAAGAGAAGAACAAAATATTGATTGTTTCAGTTGTACGAGGGGAGACTTTGTTAAGGTATTCCTTCATTTGGAAAGCGAAGGAGTCTCGGAATATACACCCTGGTCTGGAATTTTGTGCGGTGAATTACGCGACATCCCTCAAATTTTGTATAGTTCGAGATCTACCCTTATACTTGAACTTCACACCGAGTTATCATCCTCTAATGCTACGGGCTTTTCTGGAACTTTTCGCTTCATCGACAGACGTAAGTTTTTTTTTTCTTTTTTCTTCTTCTATCTTGTTAGTTGAGTCTTCTTTTCCTAACGACTTTTCTTTCTTCTTAATTATATATATAGATATAGATATATTGATATATAATAATTACAGTTATATAAGTTTATAGACAGTTATTATCGTTGATTAGAAATATGTTCTCTTTTGTTGTTAACAATAATCAACAAACTTACATCGTCATTCGACATACTCGTTCATATCGTCATTACATTTATTGTTAATTTATTTCAACGTAATTTAATTATTACGGATCAACGAATTTATTTTATTTTTCCTTTCTTTTTCTTTGTTTTTTTTTTTTTTTATTAATTTTTATTTAATACCGAACCATTATTTATTTGTCGTGATTTGTGTCAAAGCACTCGTACGTGATTAAGAACACGTACGAAGGATCAATGTAGGTTCTAAACAGTAGCGTGTGTATTTTATACAAAATATTATTTATAAAAATATCTCAAAAAACAACAAAAAAAAAACCAAAAAAACAAAAATATCAAATATGTCGCAGTATTAAATATCTGAATATGATGAACGAGTGTGAAAATTGATAAAACTGTGTAAAATAAAATAACGTATCGTTTATTTGGTGTAAAATGAAAATACACGTAGTACAAAATGATTAATCAATTATTGCGATATATCATTCTCGTATTTTGGGTAGAATAAAATTGATCCAACAAAGACCTTGACATTGGGGAGAGTACAGGAAAAGAAATAAGAATAAAGAAAAAAAGGAAACAAAATGCATCCAGGTTGCATGTAATGCGCAAGTGCAATGCGTTACTACAAATCCATTTCGTTCGATCCATCATCCCGAAAAGCATCGTGTTTCCTTACCTGTGTGTGTGTTTGTGTGTGCTGGTTACACACACTTACGTCAATATGCGCATACGTATGTACGTGAGGAAAGGAAGAAATCGCAAGATGTATTTGTAAAAAAAAAAAAAAATCTCCTCTTTTAACGTAGGAACTGCAGTGCTTTTTGCATAATATGTTTCCGATCTTTCGTTTGATGCATTCGCCCAATGCAGTTTTATTTTCTTTTTTTCGAAGATTTCTTTTCAAACGTAGATTCGTCTTTCGTTTTCTTTCCTTTTATTTTTAATGTTTTTTTCTTTTTCTCCCACACAATAATTTATAAAAATAATATTTAAGATTTATTATTGAATATTTTCTTATAAAAATAAATTGTAGAGAATTAAAAAATCAACGATCATTCATAGAACAAAAAAAAAGAAAAAAGAAAAAAGAACATTTTTATTAATCGTATTTATTTTCATTTGCATATTTTCTATTCGAACAACGTTCTATTTTTGTTTCTCTTCTACCATTATACAATAATATTTGCATTTATAATTAAGGGAGATGAGGGGAAGGGGGGGGAGGGAGGAAAGACAATTAAGAAAAAGTGATGGTGCAATTCGCGAGGTTAACGTTCGTGCAAACAGAAATTTATTTTCAACCGGTTTGAAAATTCCTCTCTTCCGTCTCTATCATTCTCGTCGAACAAACGCATCATAAAATTTGACACACCCCGTTGATTATCCACGTCACACCATAAAATAATAAATAATATCGTAGAGATAGCTCGTTGTCAGAGGAATAGGTAGGTAGGAAGGAAGGAAGGAAGGAAGGATGGATGGATGGATGGATGAATGAATGGATGGATGGATGGATGGATGGATGGAAGGAAGGAAGGAAGGAAGGAAGCGAAGCTGTGATTAAGCATGTATAATTTAAATGTAATTTCTGCCTCCTGCCGACCGAATTTTAATCAAACGTATAGAAGAGAGCAGTAGGAGGGAAGAAATGCATAAAGGAAAAAAACAAAGAAAAAAAGAAAAAAAAAAGAAGAAGAAGCAAAGGGGTAGTAGTAAGATGATAAAATAATATTTCAATATTATTTTATTATTATAATTTATTTATAATTTATTATTTATATATATTTTATTTATTTAATTATTATTACAATATATTATTTTGTATTATATTTAATTATAATATATATTAAATTATATTATATATATATAATATAAAAATATTTATAAATTATAAGATATTAAATTATAATATATTAAATAATAATATATTATATTTATAATATATATAATATAAATATATGTAACTATAATAATATATTATTAAATAATGATTTTATAAACATTATCTAAAAATAAAATTTACGAAAATTCATTTACAATTCTCCATTATTTAATAATTATCACTGACAACAGAGTTCACACCCCTGTTGGATTATTTAAACTCAGTTCATAGTTTGTCGTAATGATCTTGTACATGTAATCCATGCAAATGAACGATAATATAGGAAATAGAAGGAGGAGGAGGAGGAGGAGTAAGAGGAGGATAGAAAGTGGGTGGTTGTTAGGATGTAGGATAAAGGTATGTGAATTAACGGTATAATTGCCAGTCTCGTTGTAGGGTATTAGGGTATCCCCGAATGGTTAGCGATAAGTATCATTCCGACAAAGCATTACCGTACGTGAAAATGGATGGGGGTTGGTCCACTCTGTATAGAAGAGAGAGAGAGAGAGAGAGAGAGAGAGAGAGAGAGGGCGAGAGAAATAGGGATAGATAGAAGATCCAAGTGTAACTCTACACTGCGGTCTAATTCATTTATCCTGCTACCCTCACGGCCCCAATCTAGCTCTGGAAATTCGGCAATTAATGAGAAAATTGCTAACGAAGAGAATCTTCGATGAAAATATTACCCGAGGCCGCCTTGTGGTGTGTATCCCCTTCTTCGATTAACACCGGGTGAAGATTGGAGCTGGTAGGAAACTCTTCTCTTCATCTTTCTCAATAATTTGCTAGAAAATTTCAAGAGAAACTTTATACCTTCACCAACCCCTCTGCGATAATATGGTCTCTCCTAGGTCTATCCTTGTTTTTTGTTTTACTTCGTTCAATCTTCCTTTCATGCGCGTACGATCTGATAGATTACTTTATCTCTTCTTTTTCTCTTATCATTCCACCCTTCTCGTTGTCAATCGTTAAACGGGGGCAATAGATTTGTCTGACAAGGGCGGAAATCGAATCGTTAAATACTAAACTGCTTGTTTTGATGAACAAATTCAAACCAGTCGAAAGTTTAACGAGTGGAGTAAACTCGAGTTTATTTTTTTTTGTTTTTACTTTTTTTATAAACTTTATTTCCTTTTATCTTTATCTTTCCTTTTTTTTTTTTACTCTATTTCTCTTTCTTTTGTCAGTTATTTATACACGTTAAAATATAATTAATGAATTACGATTTACCATAATTGTTTCTTACGTGTATATAACATGTGTGCTTTATCTTTAATAACTCACTTCAATATTAGCCTTACCTCTTGGAATGTACTACTAAATAAACAGACTTTATCGTTAAATAAACTCTCAATTTCTCTATTTCTTAATAGACACATTGTCGTGTAGTTAATTCTATAAATGTTTTCAATTTAATTTCAAGTAAAATGTATATTCATATAATAATATAAATGATTAATTTTAATTAATTATACAAATGTTATCATTCAAGTGAATAAAATCAAATGTGAATATAAAATGCATTTAAAAAAAATTATAATAAGAAATTTTTTTTCTCTTTTCATTGATAATATTTGTATCCAATTACAAAGTAAACTAGTTGAATATTTCTTTCATAATTTGTGTTTGAAATGATTTAATATATATTAAAGAGCAAAACATGTAAGTGTGATATTAATTAATTAGTCGTATTGATAAATGTCAAACAAACAAACAAACAAAAATCTTAAGATATACTTATCTTATATTTAATAAAAAAAAAAAATTAAAAAAAAAGGGAAGAAAATAATAGGACGTTAGTTCTCTCGAGATAGAAAGGAAATATGGGCCAAGTCGGAAAGTCCTTCGGCTATTTGCACGGTATTGATTAAAGTGGCTAACTCAGCCCGGACTATTTTCGAGTTTCGCTATCCCACCAACCAACCAACCAACCAACCAACCAACCAACCAACCCATCTCCTCCTCACCAGGCAACCTACTAATTACAGTGCGAGTGCTATCACCAGACTTCGCTGATGACTCTACATTTCGATTTTTTTCTTTTCTTCTTTTTCTCCCCCCACCCCCACTCCTTTTTATCGTTATCTCTATTCGTTGCATTTTCAATTTCGTTCGACCATACATTGAAAGATAGACTCCTACTTTCGGCATATTCGACAGGAACTTTTCGATATTTATTTTTTTTAATTTTATTTTTTACCTACCCTTCCTTCCTCATTTCCCTCATCCGCTGTAAAAAAAAAGTCGATTAAAAATAATTTAATTTCATTTTAATTTCAATTTAATTAACAAAATTTTATTTGATATTTTAATCAACGAATAAAGGGAGATATTTTTGATCAACATATTTAACTAGCTATCGATCAAAGTTTATTGATAATTGGATAGAAATAATATAATTTTTTCATATTTTTTTTTTAAATAATTTTAATATAATTTTCCTTATTATTTATTTATTTATTAATTTTTTTTTTCATTCTTTTTAATAGAAATTTTCCATTACAAAATGAATCCTTTTACTCGTAACATTTAGATGGTGCATCCTCTAAAGACATTTTTACATATATTTATTAGATTTCAGTTAGGTAAGAAAGGTTGGGAAGATAAATGCGTTCTATATAAATTCGTAGATCGGAAATAAATCATCGTGGAGGTGGAGAAGAGGTCTTCCCCGATCGATCGCACACTCGGAGATTGGGAATGAAATAAAATATTTACTTACCTCTTATCCCAGGTCTTTTTTAGATTTCGATATAATTGGTATGGTAGTTGGTATTTTAAGAACGGTTACCTTTTTTTTACTTTTTTTTTTTTTTTTCTACGATTATTACTTTTTTTTGTTTTCTTATTTCTACATTATCGTGTACGTAATTAATATTAATATTAATATATTATACTAGAGGTGCCCCGCCACGAGTTGCTGTGGCT